GTTTTTTATTTGAGGGAAAAATTAATAAAATTAATAATAATTATTGTAGAAGTGTAAAAAATGTAAAAAAAATATACAATCCCTCATAATGACAAGCTTTACAACTTTCATGAAGGGGTTAGCTTCGAAATCCAACACTATAATCCATAAACCTTAAATTTATATTTAACCGTCGATTGTCATTTATGCTTTATTCTTGTTACTGGATTTCAATTTTTTAAATTTTCTTTTTTGAAAACATGATCATCTGGCGGATGTAAGAAGATGAACGGTTTATATCTTTGATATCACGTTTCGATATTTACGATTAACTGAAATATGAGTCGATGTCATATAGTTTGTAGAAACTTTATAAACATCAAGCAATATTTTCACTAACCGTAAAACTCTGAACATAATATTAACGATCCAAACCATTCATCTTCTTGCATCCTCTAATAGATCATGTTTTCAAAAAAGAAAATCTGAAAAAAACAAAATTTGATGAGAAAAATGAAGTGTAAATGTAAACAACAATCAACGGTTAAATTTTGATCTATGATTTATATGATTATAGTGGCGAATTTTGAAGTTAAGCTCTTCACGAAAGTTGTAAAGCTTGTCATTACAAGCGTTTATATATTTTTTCTATATTTTTTATACTTCTACATTAATTAAAAAACTATTAAAAACTTTACTTAAATAACAGCCGTTAGATAAATGAGAATAAATCTTTACCATTAGATTCTTTTTCATTTATATTATTAAAACTTTTTTGGACAAAAAAACCCCTTATATTTTCCATTATTTTCCAATTTTTTCCCTCTGATTTGATCAGAAGCCAACGCCCAGCCCTAAATTCTAATCCCTTTCTTTCTTCCTCTCTCCCCTGATGCAGTTCACGTAGAAGCTGCAGAGAATAGGAAGGAATAGCAATAAGCAAGCTAAATAAAAGAGAAGCTGTAGGAAGCTAACTCAATAGAGATAAAAATATATTCCAACGTTCATAACTCAACTTCTCAAATACACCTTATTTAAACTTCAATATGACACTTGAAAAAGTAAATAACAATTAAAGGAAGAACCAACTTCTAGATATGACTATTAAGTGCAATAATCTTGGAACTTGTTGGGTTTTTTATTCTTCCTCTTTGGACGCTCCTCGAAAGTATCAGGTTTTTCGTTTACCGACGATTCATAATTGAGACTCCTCGGAAGTATCAGGTTTTTCATTTACCGACGATTCATAATTGAGACCTAAGGGTGGCTCTTCAGCTGGTCCTCTATCATCCCCACTCCCGTACCCTCTTCTCCCAACCCCTCGCCGCGCCGTCTATTCTTCGTAGCCTCTCTCTCTCGCTATCTGTTCTTCCAAAAAGCTCTGATCCGACGGCCACGATCTTCTTGTCCTCCATTCGTACATCCACTTCTGTGTAAGTATTTCTCCCTCTTCAACCTTGCTCTCTTTTCACTCTTTCTACGCTGATATACGTACTTGGGTATTTTTATATCACTATATATACACATTTTCTGTGTTCTTTTCATTTGTTGAATGTTGTATCTTTATAAATCTTATGTTTTTGTTTCTTCTTTTTCATTCGAAATTACGAATTTTCATTTCTTGAAAAAAAACCCATGTTTTGTTTTTAAAATCTGACAATCTTTGATTAGTTCCAACATGCAATGATTTAAGTTTGGATTATTTGACTTGTTAACTGATATGGGGATTTTGGATTTTAGCTACTGATATCAAAGCAGTATTTGAGTTTACTTTTTCTGATATGGCAATGTTTTTGTTTACTTTTTCTGATATGGGGATTCTCCGATTCAGGATTATTTGACTTGTTAACTGATATGGCAATGTTTTTGTTTACTTTTTCTGTTGAAATTTGCTCAAGGGGTATTTGAGTTTCTGCATTTCGTTTGCTGAGTGTGTTTATTGCTTGTTAAGTACATGAGTTTGATAGCTTTTAAAGCCGTAAATTTCGAAAATTACTTTATGAGTATTTTTTTTCTTCAAGTAAATTTGTAATGTTGGTAAGTGAATTACTTCTTTGTATGCTAAATATGAATAAGATAATCACTTGAGGCTTTTAGATTCGTGTTTTTGAATCTCATAAGTGCACTTAGTATGTTGTGATATTGATATTGATATGGATATTCACTCAAACGATTGGAAATCTTAAATGCCAGGAATGAAATTCGTTAACATTATCGGTTTCTTATTGTGATCCTTGTGTTCTTAATTATATAAACTTGCCACCAGTAATATGGTTTTCGGTTACAAAGATATGAAATCGTGTTTAATTCGTCATCTACTTTTGGTCTTCTTGCAATCTTGGATATTGCCATGGATGATATAGTGGGAGAAGATTTGTCACCTTTTGTTAAGCGGTGTGATTCGTGAATAATTGCTTTCTTTGATTCCCTATATTTGAACCATGACATATATGACATGTCCAAGCTTGTGTTTCTTGCTTGTTATCACTGATTTGGGCTAATGTTTAGTTTCTTTATAAAGAAGATAAGACTTTGGAGTTTATTAACAGATGGGAATGAATGCTGTTCGGGTGATGATTGTTCACTACGATGATGCACAGTTTTGGACAAATTTTACTCCGATTATATTTGGTTATCAACTAAACCTGTCACCTCTATCTAGTATAAGATGATATGTGTTACTCATTATATTTGGTTAATTCCAGATTTGGCCTAAAGGCTTGGTGTATTCACATCTGATGATTGTCCTTCCCTTATGCTGTTTTGCGCAGAGATCGTGTTCTCTGCAGCTAAATTTGATCTTGTATATATGCGTGTGCTGGTATACCTTATAAGAGTTTGTTAGATTTTGGTGCTACATTTTTTTTGAACTGCTTGTGAATTGGTTAGATGATGATTTGGGCACGTAATGCCAAGGAATTTTATTACAAGAATATTCCTGGATGTTCTTTTCTGTTTCACCTATTCCTCACATTTGTTTTGAAAGAAAGAAGATCAAAAAGGGAAATTACATGACAGTTTATTCAAGCTGTTTTTGATTCATGGAAGCAAGGGTATGGGTGTGAATTAAATCGATGTACACAGATTGGCTCTAATCAAATTTGAGTTTTGGGACTAGAAGATTGATTTGTGTTTTGGTTCTAATCAAGCAATTGTGGGTTTGAGTCGAGTCCGATTGGACGTGCGTGCAACCTTTTTTTTTTCACTCAAAAAAATTATTATGTTTTTTATTTGATTATTTATTAATTTAAAATATGTTTTCCTTAACGAGTAACAGGTTGGGTCATATTATGTATTAATATTATCGGGTCGATTTCGGGTGGGGTCATTTTACCCGTTTATATTAACGGGTGTTACATGACACGACCCGTTAAGATATCGGGTATGACACGACAACAACACGAACACGGGAAACACGACACGAATGCCATGTCTACTAATACATACCCGAATTAAATAATATAACGTACCAAGGGATTGGTATATTATATTTAATATATATATATATATATATATATATATATATGTGTGTGTGTGTGTGTGTGTGTATGCATGCATGTTATATCTCATAATTGTATAGGAAATTTGATGTATTTCGAATTTAAAAAAAATTATTTGAGTTAAAAAATTTTCTTTTCAAACAAACTGTGATAAGATGAGATAGGATGTTTGTTGTGGTTTTAAGAGATTTGTGATATTATTTTGTGAACTAATTCATAAAATGAATATAATACAATAATAATTTTTTAATTAAAAATTAGTAGAAAAATGTTTGATCAAAAGTTTAAAAGCTACATATGTTTGATTTAAAAAATTCAAAATTCAAATACCTATATCAGAATATCCCAAAATAAATCTAAATCGCTATTAAAATATATAAATATAAATCATAAATTCATATACTACTTTTCTTAGCATTTTTAGAAATACATTGAAATTTACTTATATATATATATATGATGTATAAGTAATTATGCATATCGCTAGTTTATTTTAAGTAACCACCCTTGGTTAGTGATTTGTTTATTGTTTATTTTTTTAAACTAAAAACACACACGATATATTAATATATTTATTTTTATTATATGTTATGTCTTAACATTTAGGCAACATTTTCTTCACCAATACGTTTGACTTTTGGATATTTTTTTTTCTAGCCTGTTAACTTGTTTATTTTGTATGAATAAACATGAAGAGATCAACGTGTAACAAGCATTCTTACAACAACCCACTTTCCATATTCATAGGTATAATGTTCTTCAATTATTAACATTATTATATACATACAACACACTTACAAACCCTTATTTATAAGGAAATTGTTATTGGCATTCTAAAATTCTAATTTTATACTTCAAACTTTTTATATTTAGAAAGAAAAATACACTTGTAAAGAATGTTAAATGATATTTTTGAAGTGTCAATAACAGTTCCCATTTATAAAATATGATATAATACTAGATTACTATAATAAAAAACTGAAAGCGATAAATTATATGAATGTATAGTACAACGCACTACGATTGAAATATAATCATTGCTGTAAATTTATGACAACTACAACTCTGGTTTGAACCATTATTATAATGGTACAACATAATGGATGACTTAGGAGACTCCTTTTAATTGCTCGCCTTGAGCGCCCAAAATTTAGGATAATCCAATTTCAGCGAAAGCTTTAACCCTTGTGTTTGGTTGGATTGCAAAACGAGTTATGTACTTTCTATATTCATAGGTATATTTTTCTTAAATTATTAACATATACATGCAATGCACCTATCGTTTGACCTACCACATATACATCTCTCGTCTCTTAAGTTAAATGCGAAAACTTTTATATCAAAATCGAAACTCAATAGAGCACCCTGAATTCAATAAAATCCAGAACTTTTTTCGTTGTCCATAAAATTTAGAACTTATTGGTTTCCCTAAATATCACAGCTAATTTTTTTCCCCAAAAATTAGAACATCTCATAGAATGACAATTTAAGGGGCCTATAGCAAGTGGCAAATAAAAATAAGAAAAGAAAAGAAAAAAAACCAATCAAAAGAGAGCGGCATTGAAGCAGTCGGCACGGGCAGAAGGAGAGACGGAAATAAATAGGGATTTACTAAACTCTGTTTCCCACTATATACACTTTGAGTTTGAGAGAGAACTGGGAGAGACAGAAGAAGAAAAGTCTAGAACTCAGAGAGAGAGAGAGATGGGGAGGACAAGATGCTTTCTTGACATTAGCATAGGAGGAGAGCTCGAAGGGAGAATAGTGGTCGAGCTTTTCGACGATGTGGTACCCAAAACCGCTGAGAATTTCAGAGCTCTCTGTACTGGTGAGAAGGGCATTGGCCCCAACACTGGTGTTGCTCTCCATTACAAGGTCCTCTCTTTTTGTTTGCTTTCTGTATTTGTCTTTTGCTATGTGTTTGTTTATCTGGGTTGTTTTTATTTATTGTTTTTGTGATGCAAGATACTGAGATGTTCTTGATTGATATGCAGAAGTTATTGGATTTTGAATTTTTTTATTGGGTTTTGTTTAATAACCTGATTAATCTTAGTTTAAACATATATATCATGCAAAAGCCGCAATCTTTTTGCTTTTGTGATTGGGATTGTGTACAACCAGTTTCAGTATTCTGAAGTTCATTTACCATAGGTCTCATTTACTTTCTTGAAAAGTCTCATTTAGTTACTATTGTTTTGCAATTTTTGGACATTTTAACAAAGAATTGCAACTGTTGATAAAAAAGGGTTAATTGTTTGCTACAATGATGAGTTTTTGCCCTCGTCAGACTGTCTAAACTAAGAGAAAGTTTGTTAACAAGGCCGAACAATCGGGTTACAAAATGATTTCGTATTGTAGCTCAAGCTTGTTTATTTTTGGTACCCAATGTGCTTTTAAAGTTTGTATAGCATTTCTTAAAGCTGCCTTTGGGATAAATGTATTGATGTTATAATCATATATTCATATGCTGTTTCCGTGTCATGTCAGGGAGTTCGTTTTCATCGTGTCATTAAAGGGTTCATGATACAAGGGGGTGATATCTCCGCTGGAGATGGTACTGGTGGAGAATCTATCTACGGAATGAAATTCGAAGATGAAAATCTTGAATTGAAACATGAAAGGAAAGGCATGTTATCCATGGCTAATTCTGGTCTGAACACCAATGGGTCTCAGTTTTTCATCACGACAACTCGCACAGCTCATTTGGATGGGAAACATGTTGTATTTGGGAAGGTAATTAAAGGAATGGGAGTTGTCCGCTCAATTGAGCACATAACCACAGCTGATGGTGATTGCCCCACTATGGATGTTATAGTTGCCGATTGTGGAGAAATCCCTGAGGGAGAAGATGATGGAATATCTAATCTTTTCAAGGATGGTGATGTTTATCCTGATTGGCCTGCTGACCTTGATGAGACTCCTGAAGATCTTTCTTGGTGGATGACTTCTGTAGATTCAATTAAGGGTTTCGGAAACGAATATTACAAGGTAATGAGGCGTCATGTTTAGTTACAGCCTTTCGTTGATCTTCTAATTTGGTATATTGAGTTATATATCAGGAAACTTATTTGTTAAGATATGTTTTTGGAATGTTAAGGAAACATTGTTCTAGAATGCTTTTGCCCAAGCCTCTAACAAAAACAGTAATACTATACTGAAAAAGTTGATATTTACTGTTCACAGAAACAAGACTATAAGACGGCTCTTAAAAAATATCGCAAGTCTTTACGCTATCTGGATATATGCTGGGAGAAAGATGGAATTGATGAAGGTGAACCTGCTTTTCTCAAATTATGTTATGTATTTATTTCCTTAGTCGTATTGGAATACAAGTTTGCTACCAATTCCAAGGCTTCCAGTCCATCTCATGATTTATTTCGTTTCCCTGTGATTCTGCAGAGAAGAGTTCAAGTTTGAGAAAGACCAAGTCACAGATTTTCACAAACAGCTCTGTAAGTTATCTGTATTTTTTTTTTTAGTACAACGATACATTTTACCCTAAAAGGGGGGGGGGGAGTTTGGTTAAGCCACACAATGGGCAACCTAATTTGGTATCGAATTCGCCATCCACGAGATTCAAACCTAAGACCTCTCACTTACAAGTGAAGAGGAATACCACTAGACCGTAGTATTGAGTGGCAAGTTATCTTTTTGTGTTAGCTTTAAAGTATTGTATTTTAAGCTTATTAGTTAAAATTGCAAGGAGGTAGTAGTATGCTCTCTTGATAATGGCAGAACGACAAATATATCTGAATTTGGATTGTCAAACACAGGGTCTCTTAAAGGTTTAAATATCAATAAAGTGTTGGCTGGACTGCAGTAATATGTAGTACTGTTCTGTGTGATCAAAGCTCAACAAAGTTCCATTGCGTTCAAGTTATCATATTAGTTAACTTTCCAATTTAGTCATTGAACTAATATTTTTTTAGTTAAAGTACTACTGAAAGTCTTCCTAAATGAACTGTTGTCTTTTGTTTGGGGGGTGGGGTGCAGGGGTGATGTTCTCATGCTCTTTTTTTTTTTTTCCTTCTAAAAGCCTACCTAATACCTTTCTTCTTGCCCGATTTCATTGTATTCCTAGCACCTTTTTTTAACTAATAACCAAGCTTGGTATGTTGTTATAGGCTTGTAAGTTGAAGTTGGGGGATCTGAAAGGGGCACTGTTAGACACTGACTTTGCAATGAGGGATGGAGAAGATAATGTTAAAGCTTTGTTTCGACAAGGTCAGGTTAGTATCTTGGGTTTATGCATGTATGCCAGGGTGGCCCTGATCGATTTAAGCTTCATGACATTGCATTAGTTCACTTCCTGGTGCATTTAATTCTATATTTCCAGTTTCTTATCTGTGTGGTCTGGCCTGTGTTATCATTTACTAGTAAAATATTATTTTTTTACCTTTACTATTGTGGTTGGTAGTTAACTATGAGTTATCAATTGCAATGTTTTCTTGAATCTTAATGACTGTTCCTTGTGCATATCAGGCATACATGGCGCTTAACGATGTTGATGCTGCAGTTGAAAGCTTCAAAAAAGCATTGGATTTGGAGCCAAATGATGGTATGGACAGTCCTTTCTCATAAGCCTGATGATATATCTTGATACCAGTGGCTAAACAAAACATGGGGTGAAGCCCGGAGCTTTAGCCTGTATTTCTGACTGGTTCTGGTGATAGAGTTTCATGAGCCAAGCATTAGTAGATCAAACTACTTGATTTGAGGGAGCGTAGCATTGTAGCTGTCATTCAAAAATGAAAAGGAAAAAAAAAAAAAGAAAGAGAGTTTTCTTGGGGTGTTCAATAGATAATAACAGTATACGATAAATGTTTGCTTTCTTTTTCTATAATCACGTCATGGAGAGCAATAAAATAAAAAGTGATTGGTAATGGAATTGAACAATGTCGATCCAACCTTTTGTATACTTTCAATATGTAGCATTTAGCAGTATTAAATACAAGTAGCAAGAAGTTTCTTGAAAGGACGAAGCGAGAGAATGTTTTCTTATTAGGCTTACATTTTTGCTAACACTTGCTATGGTTTACTTTTGATGTTCAGCTGGAATTAAAAAGGAGTATGCTGTTGCAAAGAAGAAGGTTTGTATATAAAACCAGACTTGAAAAATTCTGCGACTATAGATGTTACGGTCAACTTACAATCAACTGCGTTTAAACATTTCTTTTGCAGATTGCTGATAGACGTGATAAAGAGAAAAAGGCCTACAGCAAGATGTTCCAAAAGTAGCACTCTGGATGTCAACCGGTACATCACTGTTTGATTTGAATTTTTCACCTTGTGCGCTGATATATAAAGCTCCTGTCTGATGTAGTTCCAAATACAGGCTGCCTATTCCTTGAACTTACAAATGCTTCATACCCAAATCATAGCCAGTGTCAAGGAATGCAGACTTTTATTGTCACAAGTGCTGTTTTTCGGGAGGGAAAACCAGGTACTGTCATAATCTGCCCTTTGTTTTTTTCCTGAAACATTGTGTGACATGTTATGCTGGAATACGACATAAGCGTAGCTAATATTTTTTCGCCAGATATTGTGTTGTTTTACTATAAATTAAGACCATAATTCAAATATGATTTGCGTTGACATTCTAGTAACAAGTCAAAACTATTTGACGAGAAAATGCTTTCGTTTATGTATATACTGGTATTTTAAGTTTCATAAATATTTTGTGAGAATAGGTTAATTCAGTTATGATCATTTATGTTTTGTTGCTTCTATGTTCTGTTTGAATTACACATTTACTGACGTACGGTTTTCCTTTGGCGCAAACTCGTATGCCAAATTTATTATTTAATTTAGTAGCATGTTGCCATTGCAAAAGGTCAAATGTTTAGTTTTGGTTAATACGAGAACTACTGTATTTCATACTACTTCGGTTACAACTATACTTCATACTTAGATTTGGGTCCTGTTAGCTTCTTGTACATACTTAAAAGAACGTAACTGTGACAAATTTAGGAGTTCACTCTGAAAGAACTCTTCGTCTGCTGATTTGGTTTGTTCATTGATTGTGAATGCGTGATTTACTTACGTTTTTCCAGTTTTGCAGGTTCCAAATGATCAAGAAAATGCAACTGTAAAGAAGTAAAGATAAAGATCATCTAATTGAACTTCTTCCTTTTTAGTTTTTTGTTTTCCCCTTTTTGGTTCAAGGAAGGCAGCTGAAATTTGAAACTTGCAAAATCCAATGAGTTGTAATCTGATCAAACTTTAAACCAAACAATTTTGTCATGTTGCATGCTTGAAGCATTTGTTGGTATGGGGCTGGAGATAAAGAACCCTTTACTTGGACCACGTATTTTGCTTGTTTATGTCATATGCAAGACTGCAATAGGAATTTTTTTTCCGCATTCGTGTCGTATTGTCCGCATACTTATTTTTTAATGTGCCACCCGTTGCGAATAGCTAAGCGAATGTGCGAACTCAAGCTGAACTTGAACCTTGTTATCGGTTAGTTTGCTGTCCCGTTAACGAAGAACTTGATTTACAAGTACTCAAATTAATACTACTCAGTACACAATACAATGCTCTACATCTTTAAACTCATCCAATGCAAGAAATACATGAAAAATCTTTAGAATGCGTTGCAAGTTGCAAGAAAATTAAACATTGTTTCTCGAATTTATTTTTAATTGTGTGAGTGTAAAAATGCAGAGGGAGTTGGAATCATAAGCTAGGTTGAACTTCATTGGTGCATGAAAATACTAAAGTGATTATCAACTCCAAACATTAAGCTCCAATCCAAAACAATATTCCGTGTGAATATATCTTCTTAACGATTCATGTACAATCTTGCTAGGTCGATAATAATGTAGTTCAAATTCGTCTTTTTAGAAAATCGACCACAAAATCACTTACTCAAAAATAAAAAGAAATATTATTAGAGCGTAATACTAACTGTCTGCAAGCCATTTTTTTAACTACTAAGACCATCTCCAACCGAAGGAGGGCCAGAGGGCTCGTTTTAGCCCTCTGGTCCTCCAAGAAATTAATATTTTAATAAACAGTACAGGGTCATATTTCTTATCATCTCCAACCGAGGGCCAAAGGGTCATATGGCTCGTTTTAGCCCTCTGGTCTTCCAAGAAATTAATATTTTAATGAACAGTACATGACCATATTTCTTACTATCTCCAACCAAGGGCCCAAGGGTCATAGGGCTCGTTTTAGCCATGCACAAAAAAACCGTCTCCAACCGAGGGCCAAAGGGGTATAGTATAGAATATGAAGAATTGAAATAAAATGAGGTAAGATTGTATGAAATGGTAAAAAAATATGTGAGAAATGGTGTATGAAAAAATTAGAAATTAAAAAATAAAATAAAATAAAAAAGTGGATGAGCCAGCGGGTTGAAGATAGTCAGCCGGTTGGCCCTTTGATCCTTTTTTGTCCTGTGGGTCCACTAGCTTTTTGGCCTAACTCTCGGTTGGAGATGATTTTTGAGTTATTTTTAACCCTCTGGACCATTCGATTGGAGATGGTCCGAGAGGAGTTGTGCTAAAAATGAAAAAAAATTGTGGACTTTTGTCAAAAACATAAAGACGAAACCTGGCCCATTGATTGGTACATCGTTCTGTGGGTGACAAGTTGGATCTCCGTGGCTCCACAACAGGGGTCGTGTACCCCTCTGTTTTAGGTTAGACACGTGCACCTTTCACACAGACGTTGATCGGTTGATCATCTGTGGAGACGTCTTCTTGTGTTCCTTTTTATGAAGGTCGTCTTCTTGTGCTCTTATATTTCAGTTCAAAATGGGTGATTGTTTGAGTGTTTTTATTGATTTTCAGAAGTTTATATTCTTATCTTTTGAGTTTTAGGTCCCATTTGGCACACTGCATAAAACATTGGTTATAACTAATAATACAGAGTTAGTTGTTTCATATCCTTATCAAATAAATAATTACCGCTAATTAATACATTCTATAATCTCAGTACTAAATTAGAGTTTAGAAACACGCTCAGGCTCTTTCCTCTTCGCGCATCTACTCCTTAGCGAATCTTCGCCTTTCTCCATGCCAAAGCTCTTTCTCTTCTCTCTCGCTCCCTCCGTTTCTCTCTCTCTCTCTCTTTCTCTCTCTCTTTCTCTCTCTCTCTCTCTCTCTCTCTCTCTCTCTCTCTCTCTCTCTCTCTCTCTCCAGTCATCAACCATATATTCAACGACATCTCTTTTCGACACTTTCACAGTTTCAGTCCTAGTGCACCAATGACGTGTGGGAAAAAGTAAAATAAAAAAAACTCTAATTTATTCTTCTACGATGTTGCTGACACAAATTAAGGTCCAAATCCAAAGTCACAACTCCAATTCATCAAAAGCTTCATTAACATTAACAATTTCATTGGTTGTTTTGCATCTTCGTATATTGGGGAGCCTACACTCCCGCTCACACCCACACCCTAGGTCCCCACCGACAAAAATAATATTATAATAAACAAATTTCATACGAATTTTGAAGATTTGAAACAATTTCAAAGAAAATATGCAGTAAATTAGGAAATAAGGTATATCTTAGAGAAATCCATAGCATCGATTCCCCCTCGATCACACGATTGCCTTTTTCTTTCTTTTGATCTCATTGCCAAGCTCGATTCAATGGGGGAATAAAGATTCCTTGGCCTTACTTCAAAACGAGAATGCGGCGGAGCTTACCTTCGATGATCAGCGTGCTTATAGTACTCAGATTGTGCCAGCCATGCAATTCGTACTGTAGGATCTGATTTCTCTACACTCTATAAATATGGGCTCAATGATAAAAAAAAAAAAAAAAAAAGGGAGGCATTTGCATTCCTAATCTAGTGGAGGGCCAGACAACTTTGTTTGCCCCAGCTTGGCGCTTTCATACGACGAGAGTCATTGGTTCAAATCCAATAGTAGGTAAAACCGGCCGAAACCCCTGCTTTTGCCAGCATGACAGTAAGCACAGACTGGCAGTAAGGAGTCAACTAAATGACCAAAGCATCGGTTGCTTCTACTTGTGGCCTTCTTCGATCGCCTTGCTTAACGCAAACACTCAGCAAGTATCCCACCCCCATCATTTTTCTTCTTCTCTTCATGTATGTGGGCTGCTTGCCCGTCCCGAATAGACGAACAGTAACAAGCTGAAAGAAAGGTGCGAGAGAGAGTGGATGCTCATTAATCTTTATAATTCTGAACAATGAATCCATGCACAACGAATAGAGAGGAGTAATCTAAAGAAGTTAAATTTGTGATAGGAGCATATTTATATGACTTTGTTAGCTTGTTTTCTTGCATTTAGTGAGTTAGTTTCTGTTTATTATAGTAATTTAAGCTATTTTCGTGTGTTTGTAGGTCCAATTGGCAAAAGTGGCAAGAAAAGGCAATTTGGAGCATTTTAGAGCAGTTTTGGGCTTGGAATGGACAACATATGAATGGAGCATAATGGATGGACATTTTTGAAGTTTAAAGAAGCTAGGAATGTGCTACAAATCTGGAAGAATCAAATCAAGACTTGGAGGCTAAAAAATCAGTTAAAAAGAAGGAACATTATCTTAACCAACCTTACCTTATCTTATCCTACCTTATTTCCAGCTGTAAGGGGGACTCCTTTTCATATTAAACCACCTCTTATCTGATTTCTAGGAGTCCTAAAACAATGCTAACAACTAATCATTTTCTTCCACAAACAATGTCGTGTATCTGCCCTATAAATACACACATTTGCCGCATAATTCAGGGGGAAAGCTTTAGAGAGAAATTCAGAGAAGAGAAAAAAATATAAAGAGTACTGAAGCTTTGAAGGGAGAAAGGAAAGGATACCCTTGGAGCCGTGCCTTGACATTCAAGCTTGGATTGCTGGAACGTTTCTAGGTGTATTCTATCTTTTGTTTTCAATGTTTAATTTTAATTGTCTTTGTTTAATTGCAAACATGAGGAACTAATTTCGTTTTAGCTAGAGGAGAATTCAAAGCCATGAACATATTGCATATGAATTGATTACGTTCAGTTATTATTTCATAAATCGTGAATGCAATTTGCTTAACTGTTTAATTCATAACTTATTCTTGTATGTTGATTAAGGAGGCCTACTTAGTTTGCATGCATGAATTTGATGCTAAAATATAAGGGAGTTTCACCTAATAGTTATGAACTTATATTTATAAATAGTGGAGGTCACTAGTCACGATCGCGTTAAGTAGATTCCTGGCAGGAGTATCATGTTGTTCATAGTTACGAATGCCTTGTCAATGCTTATGATTTTCATAAAACTTAATGATCTTTGATATGTATCTCTATCATGTTGTTCGTGTAAGGAACTTGATAAGAATAATTTGGTTGCGACGTTGAGTCCGATTCAATGAACTTAGGAAAATTTGAGGGTTAATTAGTGTTGTCCATGGTTAATCTGGAGTGTTATCATTCATGGTCAATAGGAATAATAACTGAAAATCAATTTATATGCATATGTGTCATGTGTGGAGAATGACCCTCTAACTAGCCATTCACCCATTAAAACATCCAATTTCGTCCAAAGTTGTTTAGAGTCTTTAAATCTGTTTGCTTTTACTTTAAATTCGTCAAAAACCACTCCCCCCTTTATATTTTGTGTCTTTTAGTTCGAATCTGTCCAAACTGGCTTCTTTTTAGTATTTTGAGTCAACATAAGTCAGAATTCGTCCATACACATTGTTTTGAGCCTTTTTAGTTCAATTTTCGTCCAAAGTCATCATTAGTGTTAGTTTTGAGTCAATTTGTTTGTTTTGAATAGTTTTGAGTGGTTTGAGTTAGTCTTGAGTCATAAGAGTCTAAAACGATCCCTACTTACACATACTACAACTATCAAAAAAAGGGTTTAAGTTTGTGTGCTATTTTATATCACATCAATTCGAGAAACCCTCTTATGTACAATTATTATACCCTAAATTGTTCCTCGTATATATAATTCAACAAATAGGAACAGTTTGACACGTTTTCTTGTGATTCCAATATTCCAATTGACCCATTTTTTTGTGATTCCCATATTCCAAACCATTCATATTTCAATTCCTCATTCATAGATCATCTTTACAAAAAATTAGACAAATTCAAAACTATTAAGACATTATTTTGTATTGAGGAAAATGGAAGAATACAGTTCTATAAAGAAACAATAAAATGACTACCACTGAATCCAACTATCATATGACACCATATTTTCACACAGGATTAGATCATGAGATTAGTTCATAGTTAATGGTTGAGATGTATCTTATATGAAAACTAATTTTATTACATAGATTCATTGTTGTGTCGTGACATTCCTCTTTTGGGATGTGAATCCTATGAACCGAGTAATCTGTCATATTTCAAGCCAAGACAGATTGATTGGCTATCCACCGGTGTCCTGGACCGTTC